AATCCAAAATCATTTCACAATAACCTGCTTGCAGCATATGTATGTAAAGATCATATGTAATAATAGAACACTGAGAGAAGCTGCTGGCAGTGGTTAAATAGCTTGGTATGGCATAGTTATAATTATCAAGTTTGAATTAACACAACAAGTATTGGTGAGATTTTAAAATGAAATTTAAAACTTGAAGAAAATATTTCAAAAGGACATCATAGCACGGAAGAAAGGAGAATAGCCATATATTCCCAGTTTGCTTTTTATATGACTTGCTCTAGTCAAGTAATATATTGAACCTTTCTGAGACTCACTCACTTTCTCTGAAAAATGTCTGTTGTAATACCATGGTTTTAGAATTTTAATAACAATTAATAATATCATAGTGCCTTGCAGATACGCACTCAATAAATTGATAAATAGGAGTTCTTTTATGATTACTAACATAAAAGGTGAATTCCACAAATAATGTGTTTCTGCTTCATAGACTCCACCTGGGTTGGGTCCTCAGTAAATAATATAAAGTAATATAAAACCTCTACTCTGTGATTAAAATCATGTTTTGACATGCTTTATGAGCTCTTTTCATATGGATTTTTGATAATATGCTTTCAAAATTATTGGCAGATCTACTCTTTGTCTGTACTTCAAGCTGGATAATGGAAAATGATTTATACAGTTTTATTGAATTTACAAGGGTTAGAGTAGCCACGTTAATTATTGCTATGTCATTCTCGAAGGCTAGCAGGAACTGAAACAAAACATAAGCCAAACTAAATGTAATTAGCATTAAAATGACTCAAGCATGAAAAATAATCGAAAGGGTCCTGGAGTGTTATTCTCAACAACAAAAAAAGATCCTACTTGTTTGCAAACATTCATTTTAATTCCCTTTCCCTCATCATTTGAAATTAGAGAGATATTTTAGGTCCCTCTCATATTTCTCAATAACATTTTCTTAACATTATGATGTATGGTGTCATATATAATTAATCTAACTTTTAATACTAGATGATAGCAGCTGAAAATTCTCACAGGATGAGTACAAGGTATCCACCTCACTAAAACATAATCATTTGTTCTTTCTAACTGTATGTTATTCAGTGTTACTGTTTTCTGATTAGAACAGTCTCTTTTTAGAGTACAAATTCTATCTTCCAAATTCAGTGAATTCTATGTTGAATTTAAAATACAATGCTACGCGAGAAAAGTACTTTTACATAGAATTTCTATCCAAATCCCTCTTCCTAGACCAAGGTTAGCAGCAGTAAATATATTCAGCCTTCTGCATGTTGTGCATCCACAGATTCAACAAATTACAGATAAAATATATTCAAGAAAAAAACCATTTCTGCAGTGAACATGTGCAGACTTTTCTTCCTTACCTTTATTCCCTAAACAATACAACAATGATTTACTTATTATTTGCACTGCATTAGGTACTATAAGTAATCTAGAGATGATTTAAAGCATAAAGGGGATGTTCATAGACTTTATGTAAATACTATGTAATTTTATATAATGAGTATTTGCAGATTCGGGGATCCATGGGAGTCCTGAGGAATAGTTTTCTTTACTATGGACCCATAACTGTCAGAAGATAGTGTAAAATATGAGAAGATAGAAAGAAAGAAGAAATTCGAAGAAAAGAGAGATAAAAGAAACTATTGTAAGTAGATATATAGGGAAAGTCATGCGTGGGGTAAAGCAGATAAAGATAGACATAGATTAGAGTTTTGACTTTATAGTCAAGAAAGTTGCTAGGAGGTGACAAGGAAGGAAAGCTAGGACTGTATTCTCGGGAAACAAGGGTCTCCTCAATATGTTTCTGTAATGAGGAGAGAGATCTAGCAGTGTGAGAGTGAAGGAGCCATGCAGGGCTTCCTGGAAACACAGGCTGATTCCACAAAATGTATGCCTCCTTCCAGTTAGATCAGAGCTGATGTGTAGCAGAACCACACTTTTTTTTTTTAGCTCTGTTAGCTCTGAATTTTGTTGGAATACTTCCACACTGTTGGTAAGAAGCTCTTGTCAGAGGCAGTATATGTTCCTTTTCTGTGAATACTCAGATACATTCTGGGTATATCTGAATTTCTGAATTAAAGAAGGACTCTCAGGAATAGCAATAGCAGGGTGTTCCAGGACACTACAGCTTATATGGCTGGTGTAAATTTTGATAGGCACCTGTGTCAAAACTGTGTGTCTATTACCTCTAAGAGGAGCATATTAATTGGGGACACTTAAAAAGGCTTGAGGTTAAGTCTCAAATGGGCTCTGAGATACAATGATAGGACCAAAAGGACCCAAGGTATAATTTTGACTTTGTTAGATATGCCTGAGATCCTATTAAATGGGTGTAGCAATATCATTAAAAACAAACGTTAATGGGAAACATTTCTCTCTTCATGATCATAGATTAGAATTATACAATTATAATTATTTTTTGTAATCTGATTTGTAAATACAGTATAAATCATTCATGTCTTTTTTTTTTCCTACTGTAGTATTGCATTTCAATCTAGTTTTAAAATCAATATACTTTACCTTATTTCCTGTCACCTCCTGCTTTAAGAAAAGAAAAAGCCCAGGGCTCTGGCCATGTTTGAACTTGATGAGCTCTCTTATACTGAGATGCCTGGGCACATGATGCCTCTGTAATTGGATCTCAACAGTTATTAATAGCTGTCTTCTTCACTCTTCAGGATCAGATCCAGTGGCAGATCCCATGAACATACGCAATGTGCTACCTAACATAGGCATCTACAGACTTGTCCAATGGACTATTTTAGACAAACTTTTATATAAGTTTTATAAACTTTAAAGGGTGTGAAGGAAATAAGTCTACCTTTGAAATAAACTGTAAAAATCCATTAAAAGAACATTGCCTTTAAAGTATTTTAAAAGCAGATAATTATCTATGTGAGAAATTAGAGTGTCCTATCTTATTATTCTAAACCATGGGCTTAAGTGATCTTGAAATGAAAAATTTTTTTTTCTTCCTAGATATTACTTTTTCATATGTAATTCTCAAACTTTTTATATCTTTATTTGCTCTTTTGAATAACTTCAGTATGTATAAATATCTAAGCTCTAATTCTATGTCTTGAATAGTCAGTTTTCAAGTAAAATACAGATACCTATCTGGAGATTGTCATTAAGTTAATTATAATGCATTTTATAATTGTATAGAATGTGTTTCCTTTCATAATATATTAAGGAAAATAATGACCTTCCAAGTTAGTAATTTTGTTGTCTTGAAATTTCTTTTCCTTAACTCTGAATTGTTTAAGTTAATGCTTAAATTTTATGTAGTGTGTTTTTATTATAGAACAAAGGGATCTATATTAAAATATACTGAGATTAATGTGAAATGTTAAAACTTACAACCTTTTTAAAGATATTTTCTCATATAGTAAGTATTTTTGTCTTGTATTTTTCATCTTGTATTTCAGACATATTATACACAAAGTGTCACAATTTTATAGAGGATAAAATAAGATTTCTTCTCCCTTTTTATATCTAACAAGGACATTAACCCACAGATATGAAGTTGATAAAATTTATAACATTACAATATTACTACTTATATAGCAAAATTTTAGTGATATGATCTATTCTAATGTCCTGGATAACCATAAGACTCAGTAAATACTTACTACAACCCTTTGAGGTAGATGCCATTTTGTTCTCATTTTGTAGATGAAAAAACTGAAGCATGAAGATTATTGGTTTTCCCAATATCACAGGATAATGAGTGTATTAGTTAGATTTGGTCAGAGAGAAAAGAATCAATAGCATTTGTGTATAGTTATATGAGGGGGGATCTTTGAGAAAAAATGGTTCTTGCAATTCTAGTTACTGAGGAGGCTTATGACAGGGTGTCTACAACGTGAAGCCCCTAAGAAACTGATAGCTTTACTCAGTTTAAGTCAGAAGGCCTTAGAACCAAGAAAGCAGGTGACATACCTCCTACTCTGATGCCGAATGCCTGAGAAACTCAAGGGAAGGAGGAGCTTTTGGCAATAAGTCCTGGAGTCCAATAGCTGTTGAGCTTCAAGAAGAAAAAAGGTCCAGCCCCATTATTTGAGAAAAGACCAATTTATCTTTTGCATGTGTTCTCTTTGGGATTGTTAACCAGTGGGTTGACACCTCACAGAATGATCCTTTTCACAGATTAGATTCACGCACTAATTTTCTCTGGGAACTCCTTAATAGACACTCCAAAAATAATGTATTATCAGGTTGCTAGGTATTCCTTAAATGAGTCCAGTTGAGAACTAAAATCAACCATCATTGTGAGTGATTGTTCTGAAAGGAAAAACCAAGTAGTATGGCTCTGGAGTGTACAGCTAACCTCTAGGCTACTTTTCTATATCAGACACCAAAGAAGGAAAACCAGTTCCATCAGAAATGATGATTTCTAAGGAAATATTCACTTAGCAAGACTAGCACTGTGAAGAATGAAAACACTGGGGTTGATAGAAATAGTAAGTGTGGTGGAGAGGGGAAAGGGAAGTAGCTATAAAAAAGCAGTTGCAAGAACATGGAATTGGGAAAAGTACAACATATATTCAAGGCATCATAAAGAGGGCAGTTTGACAAGATAAGAGGGTTTTTTTTTTGATAATTCTTAGAAAGATGAATATGTTCAAGGTGCTTGCTGGATATTATTTGATATATCATTACCAACATTAAAATAAACTCATTTTCTACACAAACAGGTTTTGATATTTGCAATTGTGTGTTTATCTTAAATGTCAATCTGTTAATAACATTATGACCTTTTTTTTTCATTCACCCAACTGACTGACTAAGCTATTATCCTGTCAAGCATTCACTTGTGACTCAAAGTGGAACATTTTTAAAATGAATATGTGTGTGTGTGTGTGTGTGTGTGTATAAATAAAATTTGGACACTAATGAAAACTTCAAATAGACTTTTCCTACTTAAGAATTCAAAATCAAAGTGAAGGATTCCTGATCACAGTGCATATCACTGTCTTTTTCAGGTAAACCAGTGATGATAGTGACAGAGTATATGGAGAATGGTTCTTTAGATACATTTTTAAAGGTAAGATCTGGAACTAAGTTATTCGCAGTGTTATTTATATATCAATCATGTCATTGAAGTTGAAACTGAGACAATTTACATTTAAAAAGTTTTACATGGATAGAAATATGTGGAGCCAGAATAACTATAGTAGCCAGAATAACAGAATTAACTGTGGTTTGAAAAATTGTGCTTTTGAGAAAATAAGTCCAAATTACATCTTTGTAGTTTTCTTTAGGCATATGTTGATTTGAACAACAACAACAAAAAAAAAAAGGAAACTGGGATTGAATAAAAAAAAGAGAAGAAAAGAGGGGATATAGGAAATGAAGGGAAGGGAAGAAAAATAAACTTTACAAATACTCAACTTTTGAAAGTGCATAATGTCAAGGAGAGCAAGGAGAAATGTCTGAAGTGTCCCTGCAGTCCTTAAGGAAGGCATCTGTGGGAGTCTATAAGTGTTCATAACCCACATGAGGACCAGTCACTGAGTCATTGTTTTCACTAGCAGAAAAGTCATGTGGTAAGAGAGAACAGTTAATATTGTCAGATCTTCAGATCCAGTTTCAGAAAAATATTTTTATGTGTACTTCCCCAAATTTTAAATACTGACAATTCATTTTTATCAGTAAATAAAATATGCTTGTGTCTAACAATGAAACACACTTAGAGGTCTGATTAAACCTATAGTCTAGCAATAAGTCAGACTATTTCTTATTTCAAAATCACCATGAGTTGGGCCTTATGAATCTGTGAAACTGCATTAAATTCAGTGCCTTTAACAAAAACAACAAATTTCCAAGAATTGCTAACATTTTATGTTAGCAGTCATCCTTCTCCCTATCTGCTAAGATACTCCCTTATCTACTCTGACCACTTTATCTTTACCTCAGTATCTCTATACAGCTAGTTTCTTTTACATTGTCTAAAATATATCCGTTGTTACCTAAGGCAAATACTAGATTGGAGTAATGAACAAACTCCTTGAATAACTGATAATAAAGGAATTACAATTCAGAAAAGGTCAACAAAATTAGATTTTGACAAGAGCTTTCAAAGCCTTTATCTTTTTTGACCAGATCAACATTAAAAGTTAACCAAATATTTTCTATTCTCCTTCAGATAGGTATTGCATATAAATTTTGATGGATGGTAATATTAATTGGAAGATTGAAGGAAGATCCTTTCAGTTTTCCTCCTTTGAAGGGTATTGCTTCACTAATATTTCTACACTGTCTTTACAGAAAAACGACGGGCAGTTCACTGTGATTCAGCTTGTTGGCATGCTGAGAGGCATCGCCGCAGGAATGAAGTACCTTTCTGACATGGGCTACGTGCACAGAGACCTTGCTGCTAGAAACATCTTAATCAACAGTAACCTTGTGTGCAAAGTGTCTGACTTTGGACTTTCCAGGGTACTGGAAGATGATCCTGAGGCAGCCTATACCACAAGGGTAAGATCTAACAGAATGCATTTCTGACACACTAGACTAGAGATATTTAATTTTTAAAGATTTTAAAGGAAATAGCAAAAAGGGCATTCCTCTAACAAAGTCAGGAGAACAGAGATATCATGAGAGAAAGAGAAAAAGAGAGAGAGGGTGAGAGAATCGAAAGCTCAGTTCTCTTTTTATATATCACCAAATTCAAATATTAAATACTGGTAAGGAAAAACATTCACCTTCCGAATCTTAATTATTTTTTTTGTGACTATACTAAAATGGAACACCTGAATTAAGAATGGAAGTCACAACATAAAATCATATAAATTTTTAAATCCAAGGCAGTTAAAGGTAGAATCTCCTATATTAAAAGAAACGGTAAAAGAAAGTATATATGTATACACACATAATGATGATGTAAACATGTATAGCATCACAGAGTGTCCTCAATTGCAAAATAAATACAGAAATATCTGGACCTTACCTTTTCAGAATTTATGTCATTGGGGAAAAAAGTTATTCTTTCGGGAAGTTTTGAGTTACCGGAGGTATTGCAGTGCCTCATTACTTTTTTTACATACTCATGGCAAGCTTTCATCTATAGGAAATTGGTCACCAACACATATTTTCATACTTAGCAAAATTCACCACTCTTTTCAGGAGCAAAAGTAATTGCTTTGTGAACTGATACGGCATATGGTTGACAATTTTTCCTAAGTAAAACTGTTGACATTGCTGCAAAGAAATTTTTTGGGTCATCTATGATATTGGATTTATTAAGTCTGAAACTCTTACAATAAATAATATTTGTGTAATTTGAAATCTTTTCAGTGTTTTTGAGTTAGATATTCTCAATGTCTAAACTCCTTATGAAGACGGATTTATTATACATCATTTCACTGTCCAATTTGATTAGCTTTTGTTTGAATGTAGAGTAACAATTTTGCCATCTCTCATTCTCAAATCCATTTAAAGGTGCTACATATGTTCTTAAACATCATAAATTTATAACTATAGTCTAAATGTAAGTTCTTTATTACATTATAGGGTTGTTTTGTTTTTATATTGTTGTATGGTGACTTATGGTTATTTGGGGATTTGTACTGTGCTGAAGGGCAAGAGTAATTTATCTAAGCAAATGAAGGTTTCCAAAGTTCAGCTTAATAAATCAATAAATTAATTGAAGAGTTATCCCTCTTCTTCTAGACCTAAGTAGCATTGTCACTATTTGCATTAAATGAAGCTTCAATTAATAATCCTCCTGGGATTATAGTTACACTTAATAAACTTGACCTGAACAAGATTGAGGTTATAGAAAAGTCTACTGCCAGTGTGATTGTTGTGTTAGTTAAGTGCAAAAAGTGGATTTTTCAAGTTCTGTGTCAGGATGTTATGCTGCAGAGTTGGGAGTGAGACAAGAAATCATGAAATTCTGAAGACTTACTCTTCTGAAATGGAGTGTGGTATCATTTTATGGAAAATCTATATACTGAGAGATGAGTAGATAAGGGACTGTTGGAAAATATGCTGACCTCTATCATGGTAAAAGGATCAGAAGAAAAATTATGGGCTGAAATTCAACATAATTAACATATTTCAATTCTAAGAGTCACTTTAATCACACAATGTAGAATATCACATATTATATCAATATCACACAATGTAGAATACCACAGGTTTCATGGTATGAGCTTGCCTTAATTAACAAGAATTTTAAAGTAAGTTTTTTTTAAATGGAGAGATAAAGAAAGAGCAAGATTATTACATATTATATAGAGTTTGCATATAAATATCTAGAGTTCATATAATGGTTAGATAAATTGTATGTGTATATATATATAAATATATACTCTATAAATATATACACATATAATTGTATATTAACTATATAATCTATGGTTATATAGGTTTGCCTGCTTTTAAGGAGAAAAAAATTCACGATGAAAGAGGCAAGATATAAAATTATTTTTTTCTACTATCTAAAAACCCAAATTCTTATTGTGGTGAGATTTTTCCCAATATTCTAAGTTTAACAATTTTTTAATTTGGTAATTAAACAAGATACCCATTTCTGTGGTTAGATAGTTAACCAATAAAATATAAAAATGTGTCATCAAAAAAAGAAGGGAAATATATTGTCTAAAAAACATAAAATGATGTTGAAGTAAAGTATAACCTAAGTTTTTAACACATGGAATTTTCCAGCTTCTCTTATGAAACTTCTCAGGGTTGCATTTGGCAGCCTAGACTTTATACTCTAAATTTGTGTATTTAAAAAAAAAAAAAAAAAGCATGCAGAGAATTTGAGTCCACTGCTCTATGTTAGAAGTCCTGAGAGTGTACCTTATTGATTTGCTAGACTGCCTGCTTTCCCCTACTTAGAGCTGCCATCCTGAGGACTGTAATTGAGATGTGGGTCCTGTGTGTGTTCCAGGAGTTAAACAGAATTTAAACTAGAAACCTTCCGGACAGCCAATTAGTAGTTATTCTACAAATGCTTATGGACTGGGAGATGGGAAAAGAGACTGCATGCTGTCAAACAGATTCACTTAAAAATGCTACATCTCTTTCTAGATCTTTTCAGTGAGGCAGCAATATCCCTAGACACATTTGAGGTATGTGAGGATTTTAAAAATTCTTTTTTAAATTTAGGGAGGCAAAATTCCAATCAGATGGACTGCCCCAGAAGCAATAGCTTTTCGAAAGTTCACCTCTGCCAGTGATGTCTGGAGTTATGGAATCGTAATGTGGGAAGTTGTCTCTTATGGAGAGAGACCCTACTGGGAGATGACCAATCAGGATGTGAGTATGGAACTACTACTCTTTCTCACTCAAGTTGAGAATGAAATGCTTTGTTCTCTGAGTCCGGACACTTACATTGTTTTTCATTTCTGGAAATGACAGTTGCTTGAAATATATGAAATTCTTTGCTTACCCCGTGATCTATTTTGTTGTTGTTGAAATAGCCTTTATGCAGAAGCTGAAAATATGTTATTGCAAAGGAATATAAGTTACAGTTATATAAAACTCAGTGTGTTGCCAGATTGTCTTAGCTGCGTTATAGTGATGTGTCTTTCAGATTATGTCAAAATCATTCTCAAAGATGAAGAAAGAGCCATCAACAAATGAATACTGACAAGCAAATTTTTATGATTTGCATTTGATAAAGGAGGCTAATAATCTAAACCAAAAGAATGAATGATATAGATTTAATAGTGAATGTTCTTAGAGGATAAAAAGAAATGGTCTACATTTCTTTACATTACAAAATGTAAAGAGACTTGTATTATGTATTTAATTTGATGAAAAAAAAACAGATTCTTTCCCCACAATGGAATAACTATCCATGCATATAATAACAGAATCCTAATAGTAAAGAAACCATGAAAGAATCTTCTATTCATTTCAGAATGTTTATGATATGATGCCTGGAACATAACTCCTTGCTCTTTGCTTTTAAATTTTTCTATTGTTACTGTTCAAAATATTCATTTTCATTTTGGATCATATTGAAATTTATATTTTTCCCTGAAAATTGACATATTTCTCTATAACAATAGTTTTACATTTAGTTAGCCAGAATAGATCAAGCCCTTACTATGTGTCATACATTGTCTTAAGTGCTTTATCAACAAATCGTTGATTGTATCTTTCTAAAACCTGGATATAGAACTATCTCAACTTAATATTTGAAACATTCATTTTTTTCTTCCAAATATTTCTTTCATTCATACTCTGTAACATCTCCCTTTCCCATGTATGCCCTCAGGAATCGAGAGAAGATAATGTAGCTCTCCTGCTGAATTTTATTGAAATAAAAGTAGATGCCCTTCAATAGATGAATGGATAAAAAAAATGTGGCATTTATACACAATGGAGTACTACTCAGCACTAAAAAATGACAAAATCATGGCATTTGCAGGGAATGGATGGCACTAGAGCAGATTATTCTAAGTGAAGCTAGCCAATCCCTAAAAAACAAATGCCAAATGACCTCTTTGATATAAGGAGAGCAACTAAGAACAGAGCAGGGAAGAAGAGCATGAGAAGAAGATTGACATTAAACAGGGATGAGAGGTGGGAGGGAAAGGGAGAGAGAAGGGAAATTGCATGGAAATGGAAGGAGACCCTCATCTTTATACAAAATTACATATAAGAGGAGGTGAAGGGAAAGGGGGAAAACAACAAGGGAGAGAAATGAATTACAGTAGATGGGGTAGAGAGAGAAGATGAGAGGGGAGGGGAGGGGGGTTAGTAGAGGATAGGAAAAAATAAATAAATAAAAATTAAAAAATAAAAGTGTCTTGCCAGTAATTCGCTTTCACTTTTCAAAATAAAAATTCAACTACTGTCTAAATTAAAGTCAATCTCATATTCATTTCAAAGTGTTTCCCACAGTTCCAGGGCCAGCCTGACCAAGTTATGTAAAGTGGGGATGAATGATCAAATCTTTGCTCCTTTGTTTCCAAAGACTATAGCTGGATTCTTCAGGATTGGTCTGAGTGGAGAGGTAGGAAAGAAGGGACAAAATTATGTCATAAGTTAGGGCTGTTGAGGCTTCTTGTGGAGAAAATATTAAGTCATGAGATCTCAAGTGAGCTACTTGTCTGAGCTTTTCCAGGACTCTTGATTGAAGGCCCCTGCTAGCCCCTAGAAGAGGAACGTGTGCTCCAACCCACTTCCTAGATCTTTTTGTACTTTTTCCCAGTTCCACACCTCATATTGTCTTATTGCACCAATCACCTATTAACTACTAGCAAGGGACATACTTTCACATATTTACATATTCAGTTGGATGCTCTCCTTATGGTCCTTCTTTGGGTATTGGTATCACAGACTATTCCAACCATTTTGCCTTCTCCAAAATTCCCCAGTGAGATATCTACGTCATACACCCATTTTCCCCAAAATTATTTCATAGCATTCTTCTCTGGTAGCAGCAATAAATCAGGTTGATGGATTTCTGACTTTCAGCACACATACAGCAAGAGAGTTAATCTCCACTTCAACTAGGATGGTATAGCGGTTTTCCTTTGAGACCCATTCGCTTGGCTTGGGAAGGGCAGTGCTTAGTTGTGTTTCTCTACATCTGAGAGGACATATCAGTGTTATGATTTAAGGGACAGGACTGTGGTCAAAATTATTATTTGGTTATCATTATATTTATTTATATTTATCCTTATAACGCCCCTTAAAGTTTAGAGAAGTTAAGTGACTTTCAGAAGGTCACAAAAAATAATAAAAGTTATACTAGAAATTTCAACCTAGTACTGTATTAAAAACAAAAATCTAACCACCAAGTCTCATTTCAATACTATTATTGCCTTTAATTTTTATGGAAGTTTTTCATTTTTGTTCGGCTAGTAAGCCTTCATATGGTGGTCCCACCCATGTGTCTATTTCACTCAAAAGAAACATTTATCCTTTATTTCCCTAGATAATTCCTACTCACACTTGAAATGCTTTGAGTTCTTATTCTGCCACTCAGAAACATTGGTCATTCCCAACCATGCAGTAGATCAGCCCCATTTTTGGCAATTATATCTAATATAGTTATATCAGTCACAGATAAAATTATAGACAAAAGTAGATTACGTTGTTTGGTGAATATTCTTTCATGCTTTTGCTGGTATTGTCCAAGTTTCCTTATGCTTTTTTACTGCTAGTTGATAGGTAGTCATACACTTTCACTATCCTCCAGCTATCTTATCTTCCTCATGAGACCAGCACATAGCCCCTCATTTGCCAAATGGCCAAAGTACAAGAAGGAGTTCAATTTCACTTCAGCTAGTAATGTGTCTTTTAAAACCCCCTTGGCCATTCCCATAAACAGAGTCTGGGTCAATGACACTGCTCATTGTGGAGCACTATTGCTGCATGGAGAAGGACATAGGAACAGGGAGATTGTGTAAGGTGATGAGGAATTTGTCTTCAATCCTTCATACCTCCCTTCATTTCATAGGTTTCCTGTTGGAATCTATATCTTGTGTAATAATTCTCAGTTTTTCTATCCTATGTCTATTTTTCAAAATTTATTTATTTAATGCTCAATAGCATTTGGGGCATGGAGTTATCATCGAATCCACTCTCTTAAATTCTTTTCTTTGGCTTTTATTGTTCCTTTTAAATTTTTCCCCTGATTCAACCATTTGAGTGCCTTGATACTTTTAAATATAACGTAATTTCAACATATTCAGAAAAATGAGAGGGAATGGTGTTGTAAGATTTTTAGGAAATTACAAGAATAAAAACTAATATTTTAGTTTTGACCAGGTTTTCCATGAATTAGATGAAATTTTCAAAAGATGATCCTATAAATATAGGTCATTCTAAAATAGTTTTGTTTAATATAAAATGTAGTAAATGGCTGGCTATTTTCTCAGCAAACTCATAGTCATCTGTAACACTTGATTTCTAGATACAATACTAAGTGCGACATGCCCCAAGTTCTATCCAAATTTATATCCAAGAAACATGAGGGATCAACTGTATTTGAAAATCATGATTACTGACTATTTTTCTTGGGAAAAATTCCCAAAGAGCAAAGTTGAAGTACTGATCTGACAGTTTCAAATGATATATCCCATGATGTATACATTGTAAATACTACCTGATCTAAAAAGGACTTTGCCACCATGAAAATTTATATTACCAAGTCATACAGTATAATCTAAATCTCACAGGGGAGACCTTCCTCTGTGCCAGGGGAACAAAACAAAGCAGTAGGTTGCTTTTGATTTAGGATTGCTGCTACCATTGCAGAGAAAAACTGTAACCAAAAAAAAAAAAAAAAAAACTTGAATGACTAGGATGATTTTAGGTAAATAAATACCAGATCATGAACTCTGATTCAATCTCAGGAAGCTAAATTAACTTCCCGTAGGCAGTATAAGCCTATTTATTAATATCAAACAACCTAAAGGTCAGTGTTTTTCAGAATCAGAAATAAAAACCAAGTTAAATATTTTATTGCATTGCATTTTTACATTTAGAGACAGTGTCTTTCATTTGTATTTATTGAGGAATGTATCAATCCATAAATTCAACTAAAAATAAATTCCAAATGTTCTCAAACTTATTTAAGTAATCATTTTTCAGTCTTCCTGTTTAAATTATTTTTTCCATTTTTAAAGGAAATTAGTTTTCTGTATTTTCATTTTCCTACAAATTTTAATCCAGCATTTTTCTGAACTTTTGTTGGTATAGATTTTACTTATAAGTTAGTGAGAATATTTGACTCCAAAAGTTATAAATCGACTTAAATACTTTGCATGGTGTATGCTTTTCTATGTGTGTATATATATATATGTCAAATCAGAAAACATACATATATACATATGAAAGATCTAAATATGTTCCTACAGTGCCATATATGTGTGTACAAATACACATATGGTATAGAATATAAGAAATATATTGTTTATTATAGACATATCACGTATACTTATTAAATTATTGGAATAGTTTGTAGTAAAATAGATAGCATGTTATAATTAAATTAGGAATATTTGAATTTAATTTCTATCCACATTATGTAATTTACTAAAGATTTGACAGCAAGCAAATTTTTCTACTTCTTAGCATCAGTATAGTTTGTTCCTATGAGAATGATGGATCAAAGAATATTGATTTTCCTAGATAATATTGGTCTTCTAAGTATAGTACTGTCTTTAACTGTAAATATTTTGGAAACTAGTATCCTCCTGATAGTTCTAACCCCTTTTCAAAAAATGATACATAAAAAATACCAATGCTTTATCTGAAAGATCTTGTCAAACAAACAAACAAAAATCTTCAATTTA